GACAACGTCACACGGGCTCTCAGATTTGTACTCGCGGTGAGTGAGCAGAAGCAGTAGTCAGGGGACAGAAACTGGGTCAAAGCCGGTGAAGCAGAATCAGGCAACAGGATCCGAGGGAGAGAGGCTGGAATCGTCTGTCTGGGCACAGAAGCAAGGTCATGAACTGGGAGGCGGATTCAGGCAGATGAATCCAGGGGTTAGGCAGAGAGCAGTAGTCAGGAGGCAGAAGGAGGTCCATGTCCAAAATTCAGAACCCAAGAGAATATCCGACGTGGGCAAAGCAGAGCAGAGAAATCCAGGGGGTATAAACAAGATCACAATCAGGCAGGCAGGCAGGAAAGGAATGCTGGACATTTACTCACACAAGGCTTTCAATAATCTGGCGCTGTTTGTCTGCCAGAGTGCTGCTTATAAAGCCAGGTGAACAGGTGGAGCAGGTGAGACGTGATAAGGTAGCTGACTGAGAAGGAGCAGGTGAAAGCAATTCTCCTAATAGCTGAGGCACTGAAGAGATCAGCAACCAGACAGAGATGATGCACACAAATAGAATCATAACAGCTGCTGCTGAGTCTATCAGCAGCAGCTGATAGACTCTAGGAATTTCTTTGGTTGCTTACTGCCGCTGAGGTCCACTTCGGTGACCATGAATTTCTGCAGTTGCTAAACCACTAGCACTCGAATGAGGTGGGGGTCAGTGACCCCACAAGCCATGGACGGAGCAATCTCTGAGCATCCCCAGGGGGTTCAATGCGGTTAGCTGGATTGGCACCTGGGCTGGATTCTCAACTAAAAAGTTGAGCGGTTGCTCATATCAAGGATGGGTATGCCACGAACCACCAGGTTCAATTCCAGGAAGTAGGGAAGAGGTTGAAAGAAAGCTTGTGTACTCTGCGTTTGTTGGCCCTTCGTGACTGTCAGGCAGATCGGTACATCTGTTGTTCACTGTGGTAAAAGTGTGTTGGTCTCTCTAACGATTTGACAGGAATGGGGAATGGTCTGTCCCGACAGCACAACTTTAGGGGTTCCCAAGGACTTGGGGGTGTGTTGGCTCAGGCCCAGAGGACTTGGTTGAAAGTATCCAGCTGGGCACGTAGCCAAACCAGAAGGGGGGTACAGATATTGGACAATGGTGGTCAATGCTGAAAGCATGGGAAACCTCTCTTCTGCCAATCTGCCCACTGAGGATGCACACACCGGCTGCCTTCGGGAGACAGCATGGGCAGTTTGCTGGAAGAAGTCTGTGGCTACGTTGTACCTCAATTAAAGGGGATTTTCTTGGCACAATCAGTCATATGGCTTCCTACTGATTACTGATTTTACCTTCCAGAGTTCTAGGAGCACCTCTGGCATGAATGTGTTTTCCAGGTACACACCTTCAACCACTTAGAGGTTGGAAAGTTTCTTTAAGGAGCAAAAAAATGATGCATTACTGCGGAGAGGGAGTTTCTGGGTGCCTGGGTACAGTTGTGCACCAGAGGTGCACATGAGCTGAACCAGAAGTTCTTTGGGTTTCTCTAAGCTGGCAACCTGATTGATCACAAACAATGGCTTGCTACTTTAACCTAGGGGTTTTGGCACCTCCACTTGGGCCTAGACCTGGCACTGGTGGAAGCCAATGAGTGGAGTGGCCAACAAGGAGAGGCTCTGTATAAATTAGTAACTGTTTCATTACATTTCTTTTGTAAACAAATCGAACTAAACCAGGATTCAACACACTGCCCTCTAGGCAGTGTTTTGAAAACAAAAGTGTGGGAGGAGATATACGGTTTAATACAAGGCCGATAGAACAAGCTGCAGATGAAACTAAAGTGATGATGTTTGATACACCGCATGCTCTAGAACCACGCACAGCAAAAAATCAAAGTATTGCAAGGACTTAATAACACACAGACTGGTTTTACTTTATTTGAAGTTATTTAATTTAATTTTTTTTTTCATTTTTCAAAGAAATTTCAGTGAATTGAGCTTGTAGAAAATGTTAGTTACACATCTTAATAATTGTAATTATTTAGAAACTTTAGCAGTATCCCTGCATAGAATTTACAGTATTTATTTAGTATTTTTATGTAACAATTCTAGTCTTTGTTTTAATTCTAGACCTCAAAAACATTGTTTTGAAGTTATTTATTGCCTTCCGAATTAAAGTAATTTTTTAAATATATAAAACAACTGACGATGCGTAAATCATTTGGCATTGTTTGGTCAGGATCGATTGTTTCAGCTAAGATGTCTACATATAGATTTCATTTTTGCTGCAGTTGAATGTGATTATCTCCCAGAACATTTGTAATACTTGTGAGATCAACAGATTATAGTCATAAGGCAAACTGAAAAGATCCAAGCTTTTTTGATATAACATATTTCCTTACATATTTGTACTTGTTTCATTGAACCTACAGGAAAGTAAGTTTCAGCATCATCTCCTTGATCAGTGCGGATGGATGATTCATCACTAAATCACACTTACGTTCCATCATCAACTTTCCAGGACTCTTTCTCTTTAGTTTGTTTAACTGAGGTTCTGTGTTTTTGGATGGAAACCCAGTTTCCTTAAGCTGATTTCTCATAGCTTGGTCCCAAAGACTGAGTTTTGTTGCTTTACTTTTGCTTTTCATCGCACTATTTGAGCATTTCGTCTTTTAGATGACATTTTGCTTTAAATTTTATGTCTTAATATTGACATTTTTTTCTGCCTTTTAACCTCTCATTTTAATTGATCTATTTTTTAGGCTGTCCATGGCCCAATAACATATTTCTGAATTACTTTCTTTAAAGAGATAATAAATCAATTCCATATTTTTAACCAACAGTGGTCATGTATGCAGTCAGGTATTTACTTGTTAGGTGGCTGCACAAATGTAATACATTCACTTATAAGTTCACTATATATTAAAACCTTTGTGAATATATATTTTAGAGCTATTGCTACAAAATGTTGGATTTTTTAAAGGCCCTGTGTCTTCTTAGAGTGATCATATTTTAACCACAAGAGGTCAATGTTTGCACCAATAGCTTCAGCCTGGTGCTTTGGATATCTGCCATGATCTGCCAGCAAAAACACCTGTATTCAATTGTATTAAATTCCTCCTTTGTACAAATTAATTTCGGTTTTTCCCCACAGGTATCTTTGGGCCATTGGCAAAAATGTTTGGAAAAGATGGAAGAAGCGATTCTTTGTGTTGGTCCAGGTAGGCATATGAATATTTTTTTATTAATTTTAAACACATTATAATTTAAAATGTTTACAAAAAATCATGCACTGCAAATAGTACATTATTGTTATCATTATTATTTATGCATAAAATAGTTTAAGTTAGAGATTTGTTAGAAATAGGTGTTTTATGTTTCTTTTCACAAGGAAAGAACTAAAAATGAGCCCTCTAACATTATACAATTTAAAAATTAATTAACAAAGAGGCAAAATCTGGCCTTCACATGAGTGGCGCTTTATGGATCCGACAAGTTTACCTACCACATTATGTGTGCAATGAGAAAAGGGAAAAACGCAGCCAAGCTGTCTTCTTTTGGCTGTCATATGAATGATGGAGAGGCCAAGCAGGCTTTTGTCAGGAGATAGTTGGGGGGATGGGGAGGTGTGGAGGATGAGGTGGTGGAGGCCATTTTCTGGTGGCTCCGCATTGGGAGGTGGGCAGCAGGCGGTAGTGAAGGGGGTGGGCGGCAGTAAGCCTGTCTCCTATGCGTTAGGAAGGATATGTCTCAGAGCTACAAGTTGACAGGGGATTGACAGAGTCGAGTGAACACTAGCTGGTCTAACACTTGCAGCTAGAAAAGCCTGAGCGCCGCCAACTTGAAGCCTATCACTTGCTCCCAGCTAAATATATAGCAAGTGACAAATACTGGTCAATAGACACTCATGTGTATGTGGTTGTTTTTATATCTGTCTATGAATGTGCATGAAGTTTGAGTGGGGAAACAATGACAGTGTGTTTGTGGGTGCTGTTTTAGAGATGCTGTGATGCAGAGCAACAACTCAAATATTCTTTTGACCACTGACCTACTAATTCAGAGTTTTGTTCCTCTTTATTGCTGGCAGTTTTTTTTTTGAAAGTTTGATTTGAATCTGTTACTCTAATACTCTCTCATTTCAACTAAGACTGAGGCAAAGGTAGTGTTCATCACTGATACAGTCAAATCTGTATATTTAAATAATAACGGCTATTGAAATCATTTTCTTATTTTTTTGAGGTATACTTAATCTTAATAAATGCTTCCATTTGTCTTTGATAAATAATGACATGGTACAATATGTGGTGTGGTATGTAGCATATTTAGGTTAGACCTAAACTAATTTTAAACCTGGTAAAGACCAGACTATGACCTGTGTGTTTTTCTAAGATAGTTAGAATGAAGAATAATTAATATCAATTTTTATTATCCAAATGTATTCAAGAAAAATACTAGGACAATTAAAACTAGACCCATCGTATTTTTGGATTAACTGAAATGCAGCTGTCAAATTAGTGAATAAATTTCAATTAGCTCCGACTAAGTCATGTGGGGGTTTAAGTTGATATGCATAGAATAGAAAAACCTCACCATGCCCTATTTAATTTTTAACCCATCTGCATAGTAAAGCCCACCCTACCCAATCAAGTAAGCCAAACTTTTTAAACTTCAAAATAACCTTTGAGGTCTTAAAAGAAATAATGGTCTTGTCCTGGGCAAACATTTGATCATTTAAAGTTTTAACTTTTTATGCAGATTTTGTACCTGACCAAAATAACATATTTTGCAGTGTGTGCTTCAAATACAACGAACAAGAACATAAGAAGACGACAAAAGAAAGTGTCAGACCTTAAAGGTTTTTTCACCTCCAGTATCTTAATGGTGGTAAAGCAGTCATTTTGCAAGAGGCAGGTACACCCAGACACACACTCAAACTCAGGGGAAATTTAGAGAGATCTATAAACCCTACTGCTGAAGTACTTGGAAAAAACTGGCATATGCAAAAGTGAATATGCAATCTCCAGTGCAAAAAGAACCCTGGCTGGGATTTGAACCCAGGACCTTCCTGCTGCAAGACAATGCTACAACCAACTGTGCCACCATGGAGTCTATCATTTTTTCAGTGGAGAACAAAATTACTATTCCCACACTTTATGGCATGGGTCCAAGCTGTTAAAACTTTGTGAAACCTCCTTTTGTGAGTGGAGTAGCATAGGTCTTCTGACATTTCACAAGATTTGAGCTTACAGAGAGATGTGACCATTTTCATTGTGCAAAGATGGAGTCTTCATAAATTGAAGAACATTATGGAGAACCTTGAGAATCCTATTCATGACACTGTTTTACAATAGCAGAGCGTCTTCAGTCAGAGGCTTGTTCATATCTGCTGTAAGACAGACCGCTATAGGAAATCCTTCCTACCCACAGCCAATCGGCATCTACGAAAACATTTAATTTCCCTTTGGAACTAGTAAAGTATTTTTGAATTGAATTGAATCACATTTTTCTTTGCACAGTCTCTCAAAATCATCCAGAGTTTTGGATCCTGTCTTATGCTCTCTTCTCCCCAGCTCATCTCATAGGAGTCTCAACAATGGAACAAGTTGATGAGACCTATGTTTTTTCTCAATAACCTTTTGACAAAAAAAAAAAAACTCAAAACACATTTATAAAGTTTCTGTTATACCCATAGTTGTTTATTTTGCAAAATGTGCTCCCCCATTTGTCAACATGACAACACTGACCACAGGTTAGGCTTAGCCATAGGCCATGGCATGGATGGGTTCAGCCTCGCAGATCCTCATCAGTACTTAACAGTGGGCATGATTTGCTTTTATTCCTCCGGTTACAGTCCAGACCCTGCAAATTGTTGGTCTCATCTGATCAAAGTTCATGGTCTTGTTCATGTGTCACATTATATTTTTGTAACCCCAGCAAAACAGGAAGTAATGAATTAGTAATTAAAGGTTCCTACTTACTCTAATTAAAAGTCGTTTTACAAGAAACTTTTGTATGACATCACTTTTTTCCTCTAAAGGGTTGACAAGTAAATCTACCTTATATTACACATGATGCTTTGTGTGATCAATGTGCAGTACTTTCAAACCTGCATTCTTACATGTGAACACATTATTTCTCACAAAAAAAGAAAATAAAAGTTTACACTTTGAGCAGGATACTCTATGGATAACTAATTTAATTTCATTGATTGGGAAGATGACCTGCAGAAATGGCCTTTGATTATGTATGCTAGCATATTTAGCTGCTCCATCAACATCATAGCTATAGAGGGAGATATTGTAAACAACCTAAAAATATTTGAGGCATATCAATTCTTACACGTTATTAAAGTTGCCTACATTTTGTTCAACGAGCTTAGACACTACCTGTATTCCTAGAGCGGAAAAAGAAAATATAGAGCCCAGTCATACATAGCCTTAAAACAACACATAACTGGGCTTGGTTTCTATTGTCATTGTCAAAAGAATACCGACACTTTGCTGCTTCTGCGTCTTTGGACTACAAGGATTTTGCAGCTAAGTAACTCAGTGTCAGCACAAGACCACCGTGGAGTAAAGATTTCCATCTGAGAGCCTTTATGCTGAGAAAATTAAAGGAGCACACAGACATTTTTTTTTAGTTGCTTCAGAATTGGTTACTTCAGAAACATTGGTTTTAGAGTGCATGGAGATGGCATTTGTTGCATTTGGCACCACTGGGATAAACTGAACAGAACTAAAGTAACTTATTTCAATCTGTATCGGTACCTCATCCAATCCAGGGTTGGGAGTAACTACACATTTGCATTGTTTACAGACTTGTTTTATAGACCAGACAATTTTTTATATTTGATGCTAAGCTTAGAGCACTTTTAGACCAAATCACCACTAAGGGTAGACATTTTGTTGTTTTGCTTTAACGTTGAAATCATGTCTATTGCTCACTTGTTAATAACTCCTCTTATTAATTGAATTATGTGTTTACTTTCTTAGAGCTAGTCCCCAAAAAGCAGTAGCTTCATGATGAACTTTTTCGATGACAAGCAAACTGTAACATTTTCCAGACAAATATCTCATTGTATTTCAAGTTCCTCAAATGTACTTAAATGTAGTACAAGAATCACTTCCCCTTACTTTCTAATACTTCATCTTTGTTTTAGCTGAGTGGCAGCTGAGAGATAGTGAGTGAGGAAGGCAGACCAAGTGGGTGTTTTACAGTGTGGGCTGGGGGTGGGGGGACAAGAGCTGAGTACTTTAGATTTGCCTCTGTGGGGTCCTGGAGGCTAGAAAGCTGTTGGAGAGTTAGTGCAGCTTCCTCCACAATGGCCTTAGGTGTCATCAATGCTGTCTTAGGGAATATCATTTGTCACAAACACAAGGGAAACCCAACATATAACCCCCACCCCCCTTTGCTCACACTCGCTGCCACAGAAACACACACACACACACACAGTGCGGCAGTAGCCAGAATAAGAGCTGGCACTCATAGCAGCAGAGATGGTAACAGCAGCGGAATGGCCATGATTGCTGGCGTGTGACAATATTCTGGTATGACTGGCAACTGCATTAACATCATGGTATAAAAAAAAAGAGGTTTAACTGAAATTGAACTACTTCATACTTCATTTTTTGTATTTAAAACTCAATACATTACAGTGATTTTGTAAAACGTTGGATCCAGTTTGGTCAAATTAAAGTGTAAGATATCATTTTGGAAAAGGTTGCCCTTCTAAAGGGCAGGATATCCAGGCTCAGAATGGGCTCTCATATGAATGAGGGACTTTTATGGTTCTGAGTGGATCTTCAGTGAATGATTCATATTTGACTACAGTTCATTGTTACAAATGAGCTGTAACTCAGTAAATTTTACAGAGCATTTTTGAAATACTTAAGAACCATTAAGATGTAGATGTTGATGGTGTTTGCAAACCATTTATGTTCAGTTCTCAACAATTTTGAAACAAGTAGATTTTTTGTTGTGGTTTAAATGTTGGTGTTGTACTTAATGAAAAAAGCCCTCCAAATTATACTTTATAATAGTATGGAAAATGTTCATAAAACAGATTAGCCACGAACAAGTATCTCCTTCAAATTGATGCATTCAGGTAAACTGATAGTAATTTCTAGTCTTAGCCTCAAAAGCTGTTGAAAGGTCTTACAGAAACATATACACTATATTGCCAAAAGTATTGTTCTGTTTACTTTCACATGTACATTAACTTTGATGACATCCTATTCTGAATCTATAAGGTCCAATTTGTTGATGGACCGCCGTTGCCAACTTCAACTTTTCTGTAAACACATTTTACAAGGTTTAGTAGTGTGTTCATAGTTAGATGAGAAAACCAGAATTGCAGCATCCACTCTAATGCATCCCAAAGGTGTTGCATAAGGTTGAGGTCAGCACTGCATGCCAGTCAGGTTTTTCTACACCAAACTTTGTACACCTACAGTGATGGTAGTGATTCTAACACCAGAATTCATTGATTTTGTGATGTGACCCAATACCTTTGGTAATTTAGTGTATGTGTCTGGAGTAGGACCCAAGTGCAAACAGGAATGTTGGATAAGCATGATGTGGATTCTTTAAATAGGAAATATAAAAAACCTTTAGGGGAGCACAAAGAGAACAGGACTAAGATGGTGGGCAGAGAAACAGACATGGAGATGGATAGTAGTAGGAAATAATGGGCAGTCTAACGAGAGGATAACCAACGGTGAACTTAAATACTGAGGGAAGTGTGGATAATGACATTGGATGCCAGTTTGTTTGTCAGGGGATAATGTGGAGCACCTGAGACAAAAGGTAAGCAGGGAGACTAAGGGGGGAGACTGATTAACCTAAGGGAATAAACTAGAATACACAGGGAACAGAGCACAAAAAATAAGTAAGAGACTAAACCAAGATGGCAAGACATTTCCAACAATAATGAGTGCAGAGAAATTAAATTGAATATTATACTACCATATAGAATATAACAGACAACAGAGCAAAAGTAAAAAAAACAGATACAAAAGAAAACCAAACCCCCAACACCTATGGAATATATCAATATGTCACTCAGATTTGTACAGCATGAATCATTCTAAAGCACAGACTAACTTACTATTGGTGTAAGAAATTTATTTGCACAGTACCATTCATACACAGGGCAATTCAAAGTGGAAAGTGAGGAACTGTGGTAAAGGAAATGGTATTAAAGTAATACATTTATAGAACCATCATATAATTAAAGTATTAAATAAAAATGAAGGAACAGTAAAATACATATAAATTAAAGTTCTGAGCTAAGTTATTTTAAATTAAGGTTTGTCCTTGGTAGGACAAAGGAAAATTTACTCTATGGTCTTTCTAAGAAGGCCCCAACCAACTGTTAAGCCCCGGATTCAGGAGGTTGCTTTCCTCCTGGCTGTGAAACAGTGCGTCTGGGCCCATAGAAGATTCTCGGAGTCCTCTCAGAGAGCTCCTAACTTACTGTCCTAACCTACTCTTAACATTTGTTCACCTTAGGAGAGTTTGTGAATAACTCTTATCTTACAGAGGTAAAATACTACGAAAAATCTTAAAATTCGAAAAATTCGAAGATTTTTCTTAGAATGACGTCCCTAGGAGCTACTTTTAATCTTAGGATTCTTTGTGAATGCTGGCCCAGATCTTTACCCTTGCAACAATGCGGAGGGGGTCATGGGAGTTTACTTGTCTAGTCTGTGATTTTGTAGATCTGGAGTAGACGATCATGTATTGTATGTTTGCTGCTGCTAGACTATGGCGAGCTAAGCAGGTACATCACTGAGGTTTAAAGATACGCAAGGGGGGGGGTCTTTAGAGCACCCCATTCTTGGTAATATTGACAGCAGTTCGTCCTCAGGAGTGGTTCCTGTAAATTTAAAATGTCATTTTCAGTCAATCTGACTGACTGACTGACTGACTGACTGATGATTGACTAGATGCCACAGTTTTGCTAACTATAGGCCTGTTTCTAATTTTCCCTCTGTTCCTTAAATCATCGAGATTGTTGTTTATGGTCAGTTGGTGGTCTTTCTGTTAGAGTGTAATATTTTTAAAGACTTTCCAATCCAGTTTTAAACCTTTACATAGCACAGAATTA